ATGGGAGTGTTGGAGACAGTGCAATTGGCACAGGACAGAGCGGAGTTTAGGGCTGTTGTACATAGGGTCACTATGAGTCACAGGCGACTCGACGGCACATTACAACAACAACAACAACAACAACAACAACAACAACAACAACTCTCATGTTGTTGTTATTAGGTGTCTTCAAGTCAGTACGACTCCTGGTGACCCTTTACACAAAGGCAGGTCTGAATCCTGCCTTATCCTGTGCCACCTTCACCGTCTGATACACTTGAAGCTCACTGTTGCAGCCACTGTCAGTCCATCTCGATGAGAGGCTTAATTCTTGGCTGATGCTCTGGACTTCCAAGCAAAATATCCTTTTCCAAGGAATAGCTTATGCTAACAACATGTACAAAGTATAAGAGATAAAGCTTTGCAATCTTTGCCTTCAGAGAAAACTCTGGCTGTACCTTTCCCAAGACATACATACCTCTTTATTCTTTTGGTAGTCCATAGGATATTCATTACTCATCTCCAACATCAAAACACAAAGGCATCAGTTTTTACTCTGTCATCCTTATTTGTTGTCCAGCTCTCAGTGCATAACAAGTGATTGGAAAGACCATGGCCTGAATCAGATGCACCTTAGTCTTCAAACTGACATCATTGCTCTTTAGTATTTTGGAGAGGTCCCTGACAGTAGACTTGCTCAAAGAAATATGTCTCCTTATCTCCTGACTGCTGGTACCAAGGGTGTTGATTGTTGATCCAAGCAAGACAAAATCATTTCCAATCCTTTTTCCATCTTTCATGATGTTGCCCACTGATTAGTATTAAGGACTTTGTCTTCTTGATGTTAAGATGCATTCCCTACAAGTCATTATAAATATTGCTTTAACAGCGAATACTTACCTAGATTTACCCACATATTTACTAGATCATTGCTTTTCTTTCTTCCCTGCATCTCCCTACATTCTACCTGTGATCCTTTTAACGCAAGAGCAGCTTTATTATCCTTTTACTTAGTGTAAGTATATAAATGGAAGAAATGCTGAAATAAGAGAGATGATTAGAAGATGTCAAAGCACAACTTGAAAAGACAAAGCAAAATATTATAGTGACATGTATCAAGAACTGAAGTGGGAAAACCTAAAAGGAAGAGCATGCTCAGTATTTCTCAAGCTGAAGGAACTGAAGAACAAATTCAAGCCTCAAGTTGCAATACTGATGGATTCTATGGGTAAAATCTTGAATAATATAGGAAGCAGTAAAAGAAGATGGGAGGAATACACAGAGTAACTATCAAAAGGATATGGTCAAGAACCAATTGTAATGAAGAAGTTCAAATGATATCAAAGGTACTGACAAAAAAAAAAAGGCCCCAGGGATTGATGGAATACCCATTAACATGTTTCAACACAGAGATGCAGCCCTGGATGTGCTTGCTAGTCTATACCAAGAAATTCTGAAGACAAATAGCTGGCCAACTCTAGAAGAGACACACATTTTTTTCCATTTTTTAAAAAAAGATGATTCAAAATGTAGAAATTATTGAACAATATCATTAATACCACGTGCAAGTAAACTCTTAAGGAAGATTATTCAGAAACAGCTGGGATAGTACATCAACAGGGAACTTCCAGGAATTCAGACTGGAAGATGAGGTAGAAAGAAGCCAGGCACAAAGAATGTCATTACTCATGCCAGATGGATCTTGGCTGAAAACAGAGAATAGAAGAAAGGCGTTGACTTGTGTCTTCTTTCCTATGAAAAGGCATTTGACTGTGTGGATCATAACAACTTTTGGCTAATATTGAGAAAAATGGGAATCCCAGGACACTTAATTGTGCACATGTGAAACGTGTATATAGACAAATAAGCCGTTGTTCAAACAGAACAAGGGAACACTGCATGGTTTACAATGAGGAGTCAGGATTGGGCATCAGGGTTATTTCCTTTCTTTATACATATTCAGTCTGTATGCTGAGCAAATAATTCATGAAGCTGAACTATATGAAGAATGTGGTATTAGTATTGGAGGAAGACTCATCCACACCCTGCAGTATGCGGATAACACAGACTCGCTTGCAGAAAGTGGAGAAGACTTGAAAGTGCTTGCTTTCGAAAATCAAAGACACCAGCTTTTAATATGGATTACATCTCAGCATCAAGAAAACAAAATCCTCATCACTGTACCAGTAGGAAGCCTCATGACAGATGAAGAAAAAGATGGAAATTGTAAATGATTTAATTTTACTTGGATCCACAATCTATACCCGTGGCAGCAGCAGTCAAGAAATCAAAAGACATATTGCACTGGGAAAATCTGCTGTCAAGGATATCTCTAAAGTTCTGAAGAGCAACAATGTCAATTTAAAGACTAAAATGTGCCTAATCCAAGCCATGCTCTTTTCTGTTTTACTTACTATGGTTCTGAAAATTGGACAATGAATAAGGATGATTTAAGAAGACTCAGTGCCCTTGTGGTCTATAAACGCTCTGTACTCAAAAATTGGTACTGTACTCTGTACTCTGAGTACTCTGAACTCAAAACAAAACAAAACAAAACAAAACAGGAGTTGGTAACTCCTGTTGTATACAGGCCAATGTATAATTTCTTTTTAATCAGGAACTCTTATTTATACACCAGTTCATCCCCATCTTCTCTTCCTCTCATACATGGTTAATATTCTAGCCATATCTGGTCCCCTACATTTCTCTAAACCTATTGCCTATTTTTCGTAATTGTTTTGTAGAGAAGTACTGTTTTCTCTACATAAATACTTTCTGTCTTCGGGATTGCAGTGCAACTTCTGGCCACTAGGCCACCAGTGCTGTATTCTTAATGTCTTATAGAAAGAATGGTGTTCTCTTCTTCGTTGGAAGCCCTGGCTTGTCCGTCTGCTTTGAATCATTGGTTTAGCCAGAATAAGGTCATGTAACCCATCTGGATAGCAGAGTGTTTTCTTTTACCTTGGAAGCCAAAGCAGGTATAATTTAGAGAGAAGAACCTAAGCATAGTCTATAATGAATTTTTCGTTTCTTTAACAATGTATATATTTTTTTCCTTTTCATTTTCAGTAAGTTTGTCAAAGATGAAAGTTACCTTATCAGCCTTGGATACTTGTGAGGATTCTTTCACACCATTAGTAGTCATAGAACTTGCTCAGGATGTCAAAGAGGAAACCAAAGAATGGCTGAAAAACAGAATTATTGCCAGAAAGAAAGATGGAGGTGAGTAAAAGAAATAGCACCATACTCAGTGACTAAATTTGTGTTTAGAAATGTGTATTTGGAAATCTATGTTTTTCCTCATTGATGCATTTTATTTATTAATGTGTATTTCTTTGCTCACCTAGGACTTGAAAGGGTGACTTACATCAACATCAGACTAAGTACCTTTACTCTATAAGCAACATGAGTGACTGTTCTTGGCACTGAACTTGTGCCCAACACAGTACTTGACACCTGTTGTTGATTGCCTTCGGGTCGAGCACGACTCATAATAACACTATGAACAAATGGCTTGAAGCCCCTCTACAACTATCGACATTTATAAAAGTTCATAGGGTTTCTGGAGGCATGTTATTTAGGAAGTGGACAGGAGTTTAATAAATTTGCCAATAAACAAGTGTCTACTGGGTGTTCTTTATGTAGAGGTAAGGGAAGAATCTCTGCCTGCGTGGATGTTATCACCAGTCATGTTTTTTATGTCGTGCTAAGGGAAGGATCTTTGCCTGTGTGGATGTTATCACCAGTGATGTTAGTTGCTGCCAGTTTCTCCCCCTTCATGGTGACCTCATGCATAATAAATAAAAATGCTGCCCAATCCAGTGCCATCCTCAGATTCACATTAAATCATAAGGATTCACAAGGTTGTCACTGGTTGGTTTCTGAAGTAGATCCCAGACCCTTTCTCCTAGTCTGCCTGAGTCTGGTGGTTCTGCTTACATGGTATTACATAAAGAACACTCAGCATCACAGCAACATGAAAACCTCCATGAGTTTTCAGACCTGAGAAAGTCACATCTTGAGGTAGTAGGGAAGAGTTGAGATGCACTTTGATTTCTACGACCCAGATCTCCCAAAGACTTGGGAATTAGTGGCACTGGGAGTCTATGGAGGCAGAATGAAAGTGGTACCAAGAGAAGTAGAAGATTGGCTAAGATTTATTTAAGAACTGGTTAGATTCCTTCCACATTTGACCTCTCTAACAGAAGACTTAGAATTTACTCTTCAGAGATGATTAGAAGAGAAGAAGGCATCAGAGAAAAACTTAGGACTAATGCTGTCTTTTGTCAGATTGAAAGGCCCACCCACTGTCCAAACTTTAATAAAGCAAAACCAAAAAACCATGCACACACAAATTGAAATAAAATAAGTTACAAATAAAGAATGATTCTAATTGGAAGGCAGTGACATATCTTCAAGATTCTGAAGGACATGATTTTTAATCTAGAATTTTATACCCAGACAGATTATCAGCAAGGTTCATGTGAAGGCAGAGTGAACACCAGTTTCTCTAACAAGATTTTTTGATGGAATAGCTCTCATGTCGGAGTGTAAAAGAGAACTTGAGGGAGGAGATTGAAATACTAATGTTGTTGATATTGATTGCCTTTGAGTCAAGCACAACTCATAGTGACCCAATGAACAAAAGGCCTGAAGCCCCTCCACAACTACCAACATTTATCAAAGTTCAGAGTTTCCAGAGGCATGTTGTTTAGGAAGTGGATGCCACTCCTGCTAATAACTACATAATAAAGCAAGCAAATGATAAAACAAGATAGTCATGGAAAGTGCATAAGAGGGAAAAAAATCATAGTATGCTTTCAGAGTCAGCTATAAATTACGTGGAAGCTTTCTCTCCTTGTGGGGGAACCAGCCCTGACTCACAGCTGATCCTCTGTTGGATTTCTGAGACTCTCATTTGCATGGGAGATTGTTCATCTTCCTCCATTGGAGCCGCTGGTGGATTAGAACTTCCAGAGAGGATTTGGAAACTTCTTTGGGTGAGGGCAAGTCCTTAGGAACTATGCCACCAAAGCTCCTAGACATGCATATAGTCTTAAATAATAGAAATACTGACCAATCATGAAATGAACTCAGACTAGGAAGACAAGCCCAGTGATCTTTTCCTTCCTACTCTGATCAGATTTGAGATTGCAGCGCAGCTTCTTACCACTATAATCATACAATCGTATTAAAACATTTTTCCTTTTTTAAACATTTGTTTTTTCTCTTTCTAAGATTATCCATAATTTTTTTCTTTTAAAGGTGCCCAGCTATTGTTCAGACCCTTGTTGAATAAATATGAGAAAGAAACACTAGACAATCAGAACTTGTATCTGGTAGGTGCTTCCAATGTTAGATTACTGCTGGGAGCAGAAGCGCTGGGCTTGGTGAAGGAGTGCAATGATAACACCATGAGAGCCTTCACGTACGCAACCCGTCAAAGCTTCAAAGGTTTTGATGGTAAGTCCCTCAAGTCTTTATTTCTGTCTGGATCAATTTATTATAAAAACCGTATTTTGATGGGTCATTAGGGTTATGCAGACTTTTTCAGTAAAGGGCCATGTATTAAATATTTTAAGCACTAATGGCTGAAAGATTTCTGTTACAGTTACTCAGCATTGCCATTGTAGAGTAAAAACTGCCTTAAGCAATGAATGTGACTTCTTGTTGTTTTATGTGCCATCGAATCCCTGAAACTTACTACAATCCTATGTACAGTAGTTCTGAATACTGCCCTATCTTGAGCCGGTCTCATTAACTCCAACACACCATGTCAGTCCTTCTCATCTGGAGTCTTCCTTTCCTGTGCTGTCCCTCCACTCTTCCAAACATGATCTCCTCCAAGGACTGGTCCCTCCTGGACACTGCCCAAAGTATGTGAGACAGACCTTCAAAATCCTAGCCTCTAAGGAGAAACTTGGTTTCACCCTATCCAATACAGAGCTGTTTGTTCTCTTGTTGGTCCATAGTGTATTCAATACTCTGCTCCAGCACCACAGCTCAAAGGCATCAACTCTCCTCTGTCATTCCTAGTCATTGTCCAGCTTTCTGATGCATAGCAAGTCATTGCAAAGATTATGGCCTGGATTAGGTTTATCTTAGTCTCCAGACTGACATCATTGCTCTTCAGTACTTTGGAGAAGTCTCTGACAGCAGACTTTCCCAGATCAATCAGTCTTTTAATTTCCTGGTTGCTGGCACCAAGAGTGTTGATTGTAGAGCCAAGCAAACTAATGCTGTTAACAATCTCAGTCTCTTCACCATCTAGCAAAATGCTGCCAATTTCCCCAGTGGTGAGAATCTTTGTTTTCTTGAGGTTGACCTTCAGTACATATTGATGGCTGTAGTCCTTGACTTTCTGCAGCAAGTGTTTCAAGTCCTCCTCAGTTTCAGCAAGCAGGGTTGTGTCATCTGTGTAACACAGATGAACATAAATTAGAAGTGTACATGTAACTTCATAATATTAGTCTACTCTAATTCTTATGTTGTCACCGTCAAGTTGGAACCAACTCATAGCTGACCTTTCAGCAGGTTTTCAGAGGCAGGACTTCGCATGGGAGAAGATTGCCCATCTTTCTCTCTTGGAGTAGCTGATGAATTTGAACCGCATGCCTTTGGATTGGCAACACAATTCTTTACCTCTTAGCCATCAGGATAATTATTGTGTTTATATACAAATATGTTGTTGTTGTTGTTGTTATGTGCCATCGAGTCGTTTCCGACTCATAGCGACCCTATGCACAACAGCCTAAAACCCTGCTCTATCCTGCGCCAACCACACCGCCTCTGACACACCCATCCCGATTACCCCAGTCACTGAATCAATCCATCTCATAGAGGGTCTTCCCCTCCTGTG